CCAGGCAGTTTGGCTGACCAGGAGATACCCACAGTAGGGCAGATGGCCCTTCCTTTTCATGTGTCTGAAGGAATGAAAGGCAAGCTACTTCTGAATATTGGAGTTTCCATTCAGCTGTCCTTGTTAAGATGACCTAATGACCTCTCTTCCTGCTCCATGAATTTATCTAAGCCAGAGCCATCCCCACTTGGTATGGCGAGTGTCTGTCTCCCATCGACCCACTTTTTAAAAACCACAATTTGGAAGCCCTGCTTGGCCCCAGTTCCAACCCGAGCTGGCAGAGGTGTTTGGCTTGCTTTGCTCACCTGGAAGGACACAGTTCACAGAAGAACACTTTGGGACTGCCAGATGGTGGAATTCCCCTGGGACATTCCAAGTTGCACAGCCTGCTAATTCTCCTTCCTGCTTGGGCCCACAAATAGTTTTCTTCCTGGAAACCTTCCTCTTGGCCCAGCAGCATGTCAAATTGATGTACTGTCCTTCATGGGCTTCAGAATTGATTGTGCCCTGGAGGCAATTCTCAGCAAAAAACTAGGTCACAATAAGCAGTCATAATAACAGTTGTGGCTCCGTAACAACTCTCTATGCTCTGCCACCACTCCCTCTAGATAGGTTTCAGGGAATAGTACAATGCTGTATTTTGACCTATTCCATGCAAAACATCTCTTGCAGATGGGTGACACCACAAGTCCTGTCTTGGTGAGATTCCCAGTAGACAAGAGGCATCATTTGGACCAAGTAATTCCACAATGTATTGTGCAAACCTAAAATGAAAAAGACACAAAAGGTCAAGCAGCAGATGTTGGTTGAAAGGGAATGGAAGGAGCCACGAGGGTGTCGCGTGGTGCACAGCTTGCGTCACCAGGTCAGCTCTCAGTCAAAGACCACAATTGCACCCTGCTGAGATTCCACTGCAGTGAACCACACTGACACAGTTCTTTGTGGTAAACTATATACAGTGAATTTATTTACATATACACAGCTCTTGCGGACAAAGTGCTTCGCCATACACTCTCACAGAAGAGGCTATAGTGTACAGACTATACGCACATATATACATAGACCGGCCAATCAGCTTACTGCTGAGTCACCCTGATACAGCACCAGCCAGAACCGGTTTGGTCTGGTTACCTGGACTGTCATTCTCTCAGACACCTGTCAGTTAGATTGGCATGATCATACACATCACACATGCTGAATACTTATGACATTACAACAGAGGGGTGGGTGGCTGGTGGCTGGGTTCCAATCCTCATTCTGTCATGAAGTGGGTGGCCTTGGGCCGGTCACTCTTAGTCTTGCCACAGGGTAGCTGTTGAGGAAAAGAGAGGTGGTCATAGGATTGCCAACTCCAGGTTGGAAAATTGTTGGACATTGGGGGGGTGAAGTGAGGTTTTGAGAGGAGAGGGACGTCAGTGGGGGTATAATGCCATAGAGTCCACCCTCCAAAGCTGGTATTTTCTCCAGGGCAACTGATCCCCATGGCCTGGAGATCAGTCGTAATTCCAGGAGATCTTCAGGCTCCACCTGGTTTTAGGTTCAACAGCTGAACCTTCTCCTGTGGCTCAGTGGTTTAAAGGGGCTTTCTGGGGCAGAAGCCCCTTTAAACAGCTGAGCTGCAGGAGCAGGCTGCCCCCACAGGTCAGCTGTTTCAGGCACAAACCTCATGAACCCGGTTCAGTTCATATGTGAGCTGACTGGGTTCTTGGGGTTCATGGTTTGGTTCATGGTTCACTCACGAACCACGAACCAAACTGCATTTTTGTGGTTCATGCCCATCCCTAATTATAAGTGTGGTCGATCATGCTCACTTCAGATACAAAGCCTGGCAGTTTCTTGGTGTTCTCATGCCTGGTACAGTATTGTACACCCCAAAGGAATTAATCTTGTTTCAGAATCACACAGTTAAACACAAGTTTCCACCAGTTGCTGAGAAAGACAACTGAGAAAACTGTGGAATCCGGACACATCCCTCGTGTGGCCTCTGAAGGACAAAACGCCATGGAAGACCTGTATGGCTCCCCACTGAAAGACGTGTCTCATGGCTGCAAACTCCCACCGATTTGTCACCATATAGATCTTCTCAAATAAGATCTTGTTCTGTTTCTGGTAAGCAAAAAAGTAGATTAAGTTTCCTATGGCATTGTAGTCCTCAGAGATAACCACCACTTTGGCCTCACTTATTTATTTATTTATTTTGGCTTCTATCCCGCCCTCCCCGCTGCAGCAGGCTCAGGGCGGCTCACAGCATTATTACTGATAAAACAATTTCTCAGTTAAAATTACAATAAATTGAATCTAAAAACAATACATAAAGTGCTAGCAATGGCATGCAACATGGCAGGAGTCCACAATCAATTAGTGCATGGTCTGAGTCAGGTCAGGAAGGCACAGAAAATCAAAATATTATTGATTTTATTAAGATATTGATGGTATTGGGGCCAGGGCCTCAGATGGTTGCAGTGGCTCCTTAATCAAATGCCTGGTGGAACAGCTTGGTTTTACAGGCCCTGCGGAACTGTAAGAGGTCCCACTGGGCCCTGATGTCTTCCGGGATCTCATTCCACCAGTATGGAGCCGCCACTGAGAAGGCCCTGGCCCTTGTTGCTGCAAGCCTGGCTTCTCTAGGGCCTGGGAGGACCAGGCGTTTTTGAGTACCCTATTGCAGTGCTGGCTGGGGAACGTATGGGGAACGGCGGTCCTTTAGGTACATAGGTCCCTGGCCATAAAGGACTTTAAAGGTAAGTACCAGCACCTTGAACTGAATTCGGTATGCTATAGGCAGCCAGTGCAGTGCTTTTAGTGCAGACTGGATGTGTTTCCGCATAGGGAGACCCAACAACGACCTGGCCGCCACATTCTGCACTAGCTGTAGCTTCCAAATTTGGGACACTCTGCATAACTTCTAAAACTAGACTAAATAAACTGACTTCTTCTGACTAAATCCTTTTAATGAACAATGAATAATGTGGAGTGGTTCTGTGGCTCAGTGGTAGAGCATCTGCTTGGCATGCAGAAGGTCCCAGGTTCAATCCCTGGCATTTCCAGTTAAAGGATCAAGGTGTCTGTTGTGGGGAGGGGAAGGGAAAGGAGTTTGTAAGCCGCTCTGAGACTCCAAGTGAAGGGTGGGGTATAAATCCAATCTCCTCCTCCTCCTCCTCCTCCTCTTCTTCTTCTTCGTCTTCTTGGTATGAGCTTTCGTGTGCATGCACACTTTTTCAAATACATTGGAATGGAAGAGTTCAAACTTATAGACAGAGGCTGAACAGCAAATCAACATGATGATGTTTAAGTTATGCAAGGTGAAAAACTAAATAACAAGGTTATAAGGTCAACAGTTGTAAAGCAATAAATATATCACAATAGCAGATAAATATCTAAAGGTGTTTTTTCTAATTGTGAAGTAACAGAATCTTAATTCTTTTAGGCATGGAGGGCACTTAACAGAATATTTTGAACTGGATGTAATGTTGTCAGCAGACATCCCAATATTCCTTGTGTTCACTGTTCTAATATACTATTCTGAAAAAGAAATACACTAAAATACAGAGGATTTATAGTCCTTCTTGTTGAGAATACATATGTGAGGCCTGAATGAGTTAGCATATGTAATGGGATAAAAATCCAATATCCCTGTTAAGTCCTGGGGAGGTTTTGTTCCAAGTATTGTAATAACTTGTAATTCAGCAATTTCCCTTTCCATTCTGTTCCAAGACATTCAATGGATGACCCCAAAGTAGATCTTTTATTACAAAGGAACTTGAGTGGCACCTGATGTAGATCCACACACCAAAGGAATGGGAGAAAGCATTTTATTTATTTATTTATTTATTTATTTGTTAGATTTTTATCCTGCCCTCATGGCGTAGGCTGGCTCAGGGCGGCTTTAAAGAGTTTCTAAGTATCAGCTACTGCTAACCTAGCAGTTCAAAAGCAAGAAACTGCAGGTAGATAAATAGGTATCACTTTGGTGGGAAGGTAACAGTGTTCCATGCACCTCGGCGTCTAGTCATGCCGGCCACATGACCACGGAAATGTCCTTGGACAGCGCTGGCTCTTCGGCTTGGAAACGGAGATGAGCACCGCATCCCTAGAGTTGGACTCGAGTGGCTTTCAAGCAAGGGAAACCTTTACCTTTACCTTTAAGTATCATTAAATGTTGGGATCAGAGAGAATTGTTTAAAAATGCTTTATTGTTGGTATTTGACCACCGCATTATTGGCTGAAGTCTCAGGAGGTTTCTGACATTTATTGAAAGTTTGGGAAGGCAAAGGGATCCTTTTTCCACCTATAGTGGACCTGCCAAGTTGTTTTTAAAAAATACTGGAATAGTGTGCATAATTAAATTGAGGTTATCTACTTATTGAATGACTGAGGTTATCCACTTATTGAATGACTGCCCCATTAGTCTGATTCAAAAGTGTTTATTATTTCATTGGTTATAGCAGTGACAATGATATTGGCACAAAAATGGAAGGCCTGGTTGGTGCTTACATGACGTATGGTTCACATGGACAATGAACAAAACAACATCATACAGGTACATGTGGACGGTTGGTCTACTCGTACATATGCAGATATTTGGAAATGACATGCATTGTATCAGAATAATCTTAAAGGCTATCAGGAAGTGCAACAACAGATAATGGAATTTGTATGAGAGATGGTTCTATTTACTTAGAGTTGGGGAAACTTTGACAATGTGAAACTTCAGTTTAGGTTTATAGTGTGGTGGTGGAGATATAGAAATTAGAGGGCTAGAGACAGTGATCAGTTTTATTGTATGTTTAAAAGATTTCTATATGTTATGTAATGAACCTATAGCTATATAGTTGTGATGTTTACCTTTTTTAATAGAATAAAACTCTCTCTGTGTGTATATGTGTATTCATTTTCTTTTGGGGTTTCTAGTTGAATTTTTTTAATGTTCATTCTTCAGTAATTTTAACCACCTGAATGAGAAGCTATAATGAACTGAAACTTGAACAAGCAAAGAATAATCAAAAATTTAGGTTCCTGTATTTCTTGCTCCTTAGGAGATGATTTCTGCTATTGAGATCAGGCCTCAAAAAAATAATGTAGCATTTGGGAAGAAAGATGCAGCCCAGGAGACCAGCGCCGGAGGCCAAGATGGAGAAGACCTCCACGGCCACCACGTACTTCCCTTTAGTGCTCAGGTAGGTGGGCACGAAGGAGACCCACACGCTGCAGAAGACCAGCATGCTGAAGGTGATAAACTTGGCTTCATTAAAGCTGTCAGGTAGTTTCCTGGCAAGGAAAGCCACCATGAAGCTGACCAGGGCCAGAAATCCCATGTATCCCAATACTGTGTAAAACATGACGACTGACCCCTCATTACATTCCACTATGATCTCTTTGCCCAAGGAGTGGAAGTCCAAGTTGGGGAATGGGGGAGAGGTTCCTAGCCAAAGTGCAGAGGTAATAACTTGCAGGAGAGGACAGGCCAGGACAATGACATTTACCCCTTGTCTCCCCAACAGCTCCCTTGCCATGTTTCCTGGCTTAGTGGCCATGAAGGCCACAACCACCATGATAGTTTTTGCCAAGATGGAAGAAATGGCAACAGAGAAGATTACAGTAAAAGCAATTTGTCTCAGAAGGCAGGTGAACTTTGTAGGTCGACCAATGAATAGGAAGGAGGAGAGGAAGCAGAGCAGGAGGGAGATGAGGAGGACATAGGTGAGTTCTCTGTTGTTGGCTTTGACGATGGGTGTGTCTCGATATTTAATGACAGTTGCCAGGACTAGGGCTGTGATCAGAGACAGAAAAAGAGCAAGAGAAGCCAAAACAATCCCCAAAATCTCTTGATAGGAAAGGAAGCTTATGTTCTTGGAGATGCATTGGTCTTTGTTCTTGTTTGGATATTGATCTTCTGGGCATGGGACACAATGATCAGCATCTGGAACAAACAATCACTAATTACTTAATTCCAGCACAACAGAAATAATGTTTGTGTAGTATTCAGTTGAGCCCTTATCCAAGGAGATGGAATGACACAGTTGTCCAGGTAGTGGTTCTGATGCTATGGGTCAGAAGCTGCAAGTGGATCACAGCTCTCTCAGAGGTGGGTCACAAGGCCAGGAGGGAGGAGGAGGAACAGGGAATCTGGGACAGGACACTCAATGGTAAGACTGAGCTTCCTGCTGCATAATATCTGTGAAATATAGCCTGTTGTGCAGTAATAATGGTATATATTTGTAAATACTAACCATGCAACATGGAATAGAACCTGGTTCACTGTTAACTTATGAACAATTCTGACATTCTAACTTGAGGAGGAGGGAAGTAGCATGAAGTTACACACCAAGTGGGTCCTGAAATGGACTCCTGTGTAGAAGCAGGCCCATTCCAAAATCTTTCAGAATTACCAGTGTCAATTAGGGATGGGCACCAACTGGGAAAATGGAGGTTCGCCCAAGTTCATGTTCAGTGAGCTACCATGAACTGGGATGAACCTCCCCCAGTTCATGAACCAATTCAGTTTGTGAGGTTCATGGATCTTCCTTCCCTCCTTTCTGCTGATGGATCCCTGAGGCCAGCAAAATGGGGGGGGGGCTTGTAAAAGCCATTTAAAGGGAACGTTCCATTTAAATGGCTTTTGAAAGCCATTTCAGCGATCCCTTTCAATCCCTGCTGCTTCCAAGTGGGAGGGGGGAGAAAGGGATCACTGAAATTGCTTCCAACTGGTAAAGTATTTAAATGCCTTCTCAGTTCACTTGTGAGTTGTGCCGTGGAGCTTGAGGGATCCCTTTAAATGGTTTTTGCAAGACAACATAAACCTGCCTGGAAGGTTCATGGGGCTCGTGAGAGCAGGATGGCATGAATAAAGGTTCATGAACCATGAACCGGGCCAAGTTCATGATGAACTTAGGTTCGTAATTCAGTTTGTGCCCATCTAGTGTCAATCTAAAGGTGCAAATTCCCGTTGATGTCCTTCTGTTTCTACTTCTACAACTCAATTGAGAAGAATTCTACATAAGAAATGCATGATACAGACAACTGTTTTTTTTTAATTCATACCTCGAGATTCAAATCTAAACATAATAGAAAGTAGTTCTAGAAGAGAAAGAATTATCCAGATTATACCCCAAAACTGAATTTAGTGAAGAAGAGAGAAAATCTTTCAAAGTTTTTATTAGACAATCAGTTTTTTCATTATACAGATTGGGTGGTTATCAGTGGTAGTGTAAGGGTGAACATTGCATGGGCCCCACAAGAAAGCTGTAGCTCCTTATCTGAGAAATTCATTATAATCTGAATAAAAAGGTAAAGGTTCCCTTGCTCGAAAGCCAGTCGAGTCCGACTCTAGGGTTGCAGTGCTCATCTCCGTTTCAAAGCTGAAGAGCCAGCGCTGTCCGAAGACATTTCTGTGGTCATGTGGCCAGCATGACTAAACACCAAGGTGCACGGAACGCTGTTACCTTCCCACTGAAGTGGTACCTATTTATCTACTTGCAATTTCTTGCTTTCGAACTGCTAGGTTGGCAGGAGCTGGAACTAGAGACGGGAGCTCACTCCGTCATGTGGCAACTCGGGTCTTGAACTGCTGGACTATTGACCTTCCACAGGCTGCAGTTCAGCGTCTTAACCACTTGAGCCTGGGCATAAATCCATAACTCCAGAGAGTCTAAACTTAAGCGGTATTTACAGCCCTTGCGAGCCACTCAGTGTCCAGCAACTTCAACCCTTTAACTTGGGGTTTCGAGATGTGTTGAACTACCTGTGTGGTTGGAAATCGTCCCTTCTGGACAAAGTTCACATTGATAACAACAAGGTGGCTCTTCTTCTATATCTTTTCTGCTGTACCCTGGCGAGCAGCTCTCCACACACCTGGAAGAGGGCATCTTCTAAGTGGAAGAAAGAAGAACTGGTGAGATTTTCCAATGAGTGGGGTTGTTTTCACACCCTGATGATTTTCTATGGAGCTATCTTGGGATTGGCACAAATTTTAAAAAATGTGGTTTGGTTCATGGTACGTCCCATTTGCGAAACATGGACCATAATGAACTTTTGACTGCTTCACAAACTGGTTCAATTTGTGAGACTCATGAGGTAGTAGAATGCCCCTCCCCAGCATGCTGGAGACACCAAACTTGCAGGGGATCATTGGATTACTCTCTTCTACTTGTCCTCCAAGTTTAGTAAGGATGGGATTTATGGGGTCCAAGTTATGCCACCCACCCCCCAAATAAGGTGCTCCTAAGAAAGTGCCTGTCATTTCCCCAGAAAGCATTTTACTGGGGGTACCTCTGGGGGGCATAACTTGGACCATGTAAAACCAGTCTTAGCCAAACTTGGAGGGCAGGTAGAGGAGAGGGAGCTAGTTTGGTACCTCTAGCTTGCATGGGATCTGTTCTATACACTCCTGAACCTCCTGAACCTACACCTGTCAAAATGATTCAGGAGGTTCAGGAGTGTATAGAATGGATCCTTTGCAAGCTAAAGACATCAAAGTCACAGGGGACCTCCCCCGGATGCTCTTCTACAGGCCCTCCAAGTTGTTGCTTTGAAGTTATGTAAATATATTGAGTGAGCAGAGACAGTCTGTCTGGAAATGTCTCTACCTACAAAGTGGCACAAACCTCCACAAACAGTCTGGAAAGTTAATGCCGGTTGACATGCCACGAACTTGATTTTGTGAACCACAAACTGGCCAAAATTTGCCACGAACTTTACCATCCCTAGAGCACTCATTGCTGCTGTGAATGCAGAGGCACTCACATCGCAACACAGCCGTTTTCCCCACAGTTATCTTCACTCAGCCTGGAATTACTTTCTTTCATTAAAGAATTATCAAAAGGGGTTTTCTTTGGCATGGTGAAATGAATCGCTAGTTTAGCAGGATGAGATCTTTCTAGGAAATGTGCATGTTTTACTACAACCTCTGAAACAGAGCTTCAGTGGGAAAAAAGTATACCATTCTGGAGACCAAGATCTGAATGAAGCTGGCCTTCAGTCTGTTCTATAAATGCAGTCTTATACTCCCAGATGTTCTGTCAGCAAATTTCTCCTCTATTACCCAAGAATATTGACTTCTTCCCCACCTGGGTAGCCCAAACAATTGCATCTGTGTTAATGGTGAATTCTCTGCCTGGGGGGCCCCTCGGATCCATCCTTCCAACTTTCACTTGAGCTGAAGATTGATTTGGGAAGAAAGCCAAGTTCAGAATATCATAGCCAGCTGATCTCTCGTCATTTTCACTGAAAAACACTTCCTCGCCAGCACTGTTGTTGAACTGGGTACTCCTTAAAGAGGCAAGGATCTGAAATGAAAGAAATCCTAAGAAAAGGATGTAACTGTTATGACCACTAGCGGGGCCAGTTGTAGGTTTTGGTGGGCCATGTGTTACCCCTACTAGCTTTTATTTAAAAGCTGAATATCTGATTTTAGTTTCTGGGGAAAACTAGTCAAATTATAGGCTGCAGTGAGAGGTGGGGTAGTAAGCGTGGATCTGCTATCGGTGTTTACGGAGACAGTCCCCTTAAGACCCCTGGTTGAGTCAATAACCCGTCCAAATTGTAAAAGAAATGGATTTTATTAGAGGAAAATAATTATTTGGATATTAACACTCACATCAAGGTTTGTAAGCATACAAGGAGATATAGAAAGAAGTTAGCAGACAGATAGAAGGGTGGGGAGATACTATACCTATCCAGATGTGCAGGGGTCCATTGCTGGAAAGGGAGGGGACCCAAACTGTGTAGTTTAGGGGTGCAGCTCTACTGCAGGCTGCCTCAGAGTGACACACCTTGATGGCCATGTGTTTTGGTTGATATAGACATGGAAAAACAATGTGAACCAATGGGAAGCCTTGAGGGGCTTGTCCCAGGTGAAGACAAAAGATTACCTGGACCAATGTGCAGTCCCAGGGGGTGTGATGCCAGAAGGGGCAAGATCTACATGTGACCAATGAGGTCTCAGAGGGGCAGGGTTTGGGTTCACAAAAGGCTTGATGAGATTAGCCAGGTGCTGGATGGTTGGGCTGGGAGTGTCCATTGTGGAACAATAGGGTGGTCTGGCATTTCCCTGGTGCCAGACAACTGAGGTGAGGTTGCTTAATGTGTGGTGGGATGAACCTGAATGGGTGACCATTCACTAGACATGGAGCGTTAATGTTTACCCTGATAGGTCTGGCAGAGGTGTCAGAATGCAGATATTTTAGACAAACACATGGAGACAGGAATGTGAAAATCATTTAGAAGGTATTTCCTGACATTCCGGTGAAACAGTTGTTGGGGCTGTAAACATGCAGCATACTTAATTCGTGACAATAGGCTCTTTGTCCCTGCCTGCCTGCCATTTGACAGACAAATGACTAGCCATTTGGTCAGTAGAAGATTCCTGCGGCAAGGGCAGAGACTTGCCCATTCTAGTTCTTTTGGACCGAGCTGACAAAGAGAAGGGGGGGGGGGGTTTGGCCGCATGGAAGATGTTCTGACAGTGAAGCTGGCCCTATTTTCTTCCTTGGCCTGTGTTATTAAGCCAAAATGAGATTCTCTTAGTCTCCTAAGAAAAGCCACTGTCTACGCCAAGCCTGGCTTCATGAGGGCACTGCTTTAGGAGGTTCAGAGTTTGTTTTGGGGTGTCTCTCTCTGGGGAAAGACTGCCCCAGGTTCAGGGCCCAAGAGGCTGGTTACACATAAGCATAGAGCTCACAAGGTCCCCTTTCCCTCCACCATGAGGCCCCCTGCGTATGCCCTCCCCTCCAGCTGCATGCCACTCACCTGCCTGTATATCTTGTCCCTACCCAGTTGCCAGCCCTTCCATCGCCTGTGCTCACAGCTGCCTGACCACCTGCAGCCCTTTCCCTGGCCATGGCTGCATGTGTAGCTGGGAGCATGGGTTGCTAGCAAGAGAGTGGTCAGGGGTGAGGGGTCAACAGCAGTGGGCCCCAGCAGAAACCCTGGGCCCTGGCAGCTGCCCCTTCTCAGTGTATGCTGATGTCAGCCCCAACCACTAGGGGATTAGTCCTTCAGACCAGAGGTCATTTCGGGGGGGGGAATGTGGGGGATCGCAGTTTCCCCGGGTGAGGTATGGGGGGCGGGGCACATGACGAAGCCCCGCCCCCTGCTTCCAGCCGCCCCGCTTCCGGCCCTCATTCAGCCAGGAGGAGGCAGGAGAAGAGGGAGGGTAAGTTGCTTCCTCCCTGCCTCTCCCCACCCCTGCCTGTCTGGGGCCAGGGAGGGCCTTCGTGGGGCTTCCTTCCACTCCTGCCGGCCTTGCAAGTCCACCGCCGGGCCCCTCATGGGGCTCAGCAGTGGAGCTGCAAGGCCGGCGGCGGCCGGGACCGTTGGGGGCGGGGTGTGTGGCCTTATGACACACTTCCAGTGATGTCAGGGGGTGTGGCATATGCTAATGAGTTATGCTAATGAGTCCCCCTAGCTCTTTTTCTACGAAACGACCCCTGCTTCAGACATTCAGTCTGGGCTACCACAAGAAGTGGTGGTTTCTGTAGTTTCCTTAATGGAAAAGCCAAGGGTGAATTTTCAGTGGGGACTAATCTGTATGGCCAGATGACTTCTTTATGTGTCTGTGTTGGGGGCCATCTCTCATGGTAGCTACTGCCCATGACACAGACTCCATATGCTTGGATGGAGGCTGGAAGCAATGGGATTAGAGACAGCGCAGAAGTTTAAGATGGTGGATCTGGCTATCGAGAAAGAGAATTGGGAACAGGGGATGCATGCTCTTTGCATCTGGATGGCTTTCCATCGTGTCCAGCGATGTCCCTTCCTCATTTGGTATCTGTGAATGGGTGGAGTTCTCGCGCTGTGGTGAGAAAGCCTAAGGGATGAGAAGGCAACCCAATCCTGATAGCGCTTCAGCTAAGTGTGACCTTGCTAGCACAGGCTCACTGACAGCAATGGGAGTCCAGGCGAGTCCATGGATGGATGACCATCACTGATACTGGGCAATCAAGTCAGTCCATAAAAGCAACGTACTTCTAATTGTGTGATCCGGTTTTATTGCAGAGTTGATTGGATCTATTGCATTCTGTTCTAATTGCATTCTTTTCACTTGTGTAGTCTGCTCTGAGGCTCAGCAAAAAGAGGTGGACCATAAGTGAAGGAAATAAATTCCCATTCAAGAGGCTCAGAAGGGGGGCTGGCCATGGAGAATCAGTGATAGGTAGCAAAGTGGGCAAGAGAAACGGAGGAAGACTCTGCTTGCAGTACCAGATAGGTTCCATGAGAGATGGGGAGCAAGAGGGGGAAATGAAAGCTGTAAATCCCCATCCAACTGACCCCAAGGCCCTACAGTTTCCAGCCCCTGTCATGGCTGCTGCCGAACCTGAGCACTTGACTCCAGCAGAAGATCAACAGACTGCTGGAGATGAGCATTTGGCCCCAGCAGAAGACCTAAGTAATGCTGGGGATGAGCTCCTGGCTCCTAACAACCCCACACCTGAAGCCACGGAAACTGCTACAGCAGCAGCTGAAGCAGACTCACGCTGGAGCAACATGCCCCCCAACTCGCCCCCACCGGTATTCCGTCTGTGGGAACAACGCCGACGGGACATGGCATCCCGGCGGTGGGATGTGCACATGTGCGGTAGGCGCTCTTTTAGCCCTGAGTACTAGTGGGAGTCGGGACACAATCAGGGTGCGCTAATTGCCAGCAGCCCGACGGGCTATTTAGCTCTATCACCCACGCCGACTAGTTGTGCTAGCAACTAGTCATTTTGGACGAAGCTCTGCACCTCACCACCCGTGTTCCAGTTCCTGCTCCTTGTCTTGACTCCTCGGCTCCTGACCTCAGCTTGTACGACTCTGCTCCTGACTTGCACCCCCGGCTTTTGACTCTCTGGCTTCTGACTTCTTTGGACTCTAGCTTTAATGAGTACTGTAATGGTCGGTGATTTGGACTTGGTCTCTCAGTATTGCTGCTTGCCCGGTTTTGAACTTGGACTGTTTTTGGACTCTCTTGCCCTTGCTTGGCCTAGTAACGAGTTCGTGACAATCCCCCTGGCGGGGGCAAGGGTTCCCTGTAATCAGACCCCACCCCTGCCACCAATCATGCCACTGATGTCTGGGCAACACTCTGGTATTTGGGGGAAAAACACTATGGTAGAAGCTGCTTTTACCATATAGTTTTTGCTCAAATAACAGAGCATTGCAGAGACATCACAGCTTGATGACATCACTTCCTATGCGACATCAGAAAGATGGCCTGGACTTTCTTTTTTTCTCCTGGAAAGTCCCACTATCCTCCACCAGTTGCCAGGAGGGACCTGGGAACTACACAAGAACCCTAAAAGGCATCTTAAGAGATGGGGGAGCTTGCCTTGCTTAGGAGAACGAGGACCCTGGGTTATCTCTGGCATTGGACAAAGAAATAGTTATAACAGGAACTTATGCTACTTTTTCCTCATAAGGAAAACAACATTGTGGGAGCTGTTCCTCCTCCTGTATGGCTGAAGAAACGGCAAGCCATGAAAGGCAGCACGTCAGATTGCTTAGTTTATTTGAGTTTATTTGAGTTGGTCAATAGCAGTGACCCACCTTGGCTAATGTTCGGGACTGTCTGTTCCTTGACACAAGAGCCGCATAGCATAGGGAGGATGTTACCTGCCATGGCTGGACATCCAGAAGCCTCTCGCCATTCCCCATCATTGCACGTCTCGATCCAAATGTGTACACGGCATGTAGTGCATGCGCTACGGAATAAGCAGCATTATAAACATTATAGCTGTTTCCAGTCATGCTCATTTCGAATACAGAGGGTGGGAGGTTCTCGATCTCCTCCTTCTCTGTACAGTTCTTAAGGCCTCCAGGAAAATCATTTGGTTTTTTAAATAAACATATGAATACAAGTTTCCACCACTCTTTAAGAAAAACATCACCTTGAGGCTGGCGTGGATCTAAAGTCCGGAGAAAACTGTGGAACCCTGGCACATCACTTGCGTGGCCTCTGAAGGACAGGGCACCATGGAAGGCCTCCACAGCCCTCCAGGTAAAGAAGATGCCCACGGCAGCAAATTCCCACTGGCTTGTCACAATCCACACCTTCTCAAGAGACGTCTTAGTCTTAGCTTTGTATGTCATAAGGGGTAGGATTAAATTCCGTATGGCATTTGAGTCGCCGGAGACAACCACAACTTTGGCCTTAGCCTCCGAGACAGCTATAGCTAGATTCACATTTCTGTATGCAGTTGTATGGTACACTGAGATTTCAGACAATGTCCGTTTAGTGAACTCGACACAGATGTTGTTCTGGTCAAGCATTGGTGTTAGGGCTTGGATGAAGTTTTCTCCACTGTCATCATCCGGAGCAACAATCCCAATCCAGTTCCAGTGGAAATGAAGAAGTAAGCGGATTATCCCCGAATACTGTGGGACTTCACTGGGGTCAATCCGGTAGAAAGAAGGAAATATGCTCCTCTCTTTCAGAACAGGACTGAAGGAGCCATAACCGAGCTGGTGGAAAGAAGGAAGACTTTTAGTTGAAAAACAGATTTGTAAATGTTGTGCAGTTATCTTCGGTGCTCCCAAAAAATCAGGACTGTGAAGGTAATCCCATGTCCTGTTGACTGTATTTTTTCCTCTTCTTTCCCAAGAAATAATTTCTGTCGCTAGATCTTGCTGTCTCAGGGTTCAATCTGTCTGGGCTGAAATGGTTGAGGCCAAGAAGGCACTGGGTTCAGCAATGCAGCCAACTGGGCCATGAACTATTTTTGAGAAAGAGAAATGAAGCAACCAGTCTGGGACACACAGTATGTGGGTGTACAAGTGGGTGAGTGTATGTGTGAGTAATTAACATGTGGAATTGACTGGTGCAGGAAGTGGTGGTAGCTAGAAACATAGACAGCTTCAAGAAGGGATTGGATATGGAGCAGAGAACCATCAGTGGCTGTTAGCCACAAGGTATAGATGGAACACTATGTCTGCTCTGTATTCTTGTTGCTTGGGGGGCCACAGTAGGAGGGCTCCTATAGTTCTTGCCCTGCAGGTGGACCTCCTGATGGCTCCTTGGTTTTTGGCCACTGTGTGACACAGAATGTTGGACTGGATGGGCCATTGGCCTGATCCAACATGGCTTCTCTTATGTTCATATGAGCGCATGTCTGCCGCTTCCCAAATCCTTGGTGAATCTTTGGGCCTGGCTAGGTCAGATAGAGCAATGGTATATCAGTCTGGGTTGCTATAGAAACATTGACATAGGTTTGAATGGAATGTTGAGGTTTCATCTATATGTTACTTTCTCCCGCCTTTGCAAACCAGTCCTAACAAAGAGTTTGAACCCCGTAGCATCTCATATCTCTAATAAAAGCATTCACTGCCAAAGGGTGTGTTGAGAGTGATTTGACTGGGAACCTGACAGATGGATATGATAAGGGGGGATTTAGGCACACTGGAATTCACTGCACAATATATTTCAGGAGGCCACTCAGCTATCACTAAAGCTGCCACATCACAGGGTAGTCTAATACAGGTGTCCACAGTGACTGCCCCTAAGAGATACAAGTGGTCGTCTTAAGCAACTGAACAAAGTTTGAGTCACATGAACCCGCCTTACACTGAATCAGACCCCAGGTCCATCAAAGTCAGTATTGTCTACTAAGACTGGTAGCTGTGGTCCAGGGTCTCATGCATAGGTCTTTCACATCATCTACTGCTTCGTCCTTATAACTGGAGATGCTGGGGATTGAACCTGGGACCTGCATGCCAAGCATGTGTGTGCACACGAAAGCTTATACCCAGAATTATACTGGAATCAAACTTTGTTCAACAGAAGTACATGTAAACTTGCATGTAGAGATGCAAAGACCATTCTCATGAAGCAGTTTTACTGACCCATAATGTTGGTGAGCCCTGACTTGCATAGCCCGGGCAAGCTCGGTCTCATCAGATCTTGGAAGTAAGCAGAGTTAGCCTTCGCTAGTATTTGTATGGGAGACTGCCATGGAAGTCCAGGGTCCCAACTCAGAGGCAGGCAATGGCAAACCACCTCCGAATGACTCTTGCCTTGAAAACCGTATGGGGTCCCCAGAAATCAGCTGTGACATGATGGCACTTTCCAGCACCAATGTTGGTGTAATTTACATAAGCACTAAGTTCTATGAGTAGTTCGTTTAATTAAAATTCTGCACAATCCAGGTTCTCTATGGCTGTTTTGGGGCAGGTTGGGGTGGGTCAGTTTGGTGGTTTTTTGGAACAAATTCATAAAGGGCAGCCAGGCCAGGAGCCAGGAATTCCAGCATCCGGTCCCAGTGCCTCAATTTCATCCCTGCTGCTTCCTTCCTCCTGACGGAAAACTCTTTTCTCAGTCAATCTATCAAGCACAGTTTTATCCTCCCATTCACCCCAAGTGCTCAGGACAGCTTGTATGGTTCTTTCCATTTTTGGGTCATCCTCACAGCAATAACCCTGTGAGATAGGGGTGGCTGAGGTGAACGGGCCCTAAGCCAGCCAGCGTGCATCATGGCGGTGTGGGGATTGGAACCCACGTCACTCAGACCTTCGTCTGACATTCTAGCCACTGTTGATTCTAAATTTAAATTCTTAGCAAAGCAAATATATTACTGAAGGTCCTGCTTCTCCACTCTCATGTGCCCTTCAGCCACCCCATTGCCTCACCTATGAGTTCACGCCACTCTCCAAACACACCCTTTTATCCCCATAAAAAGGCCCTCTTACCTGTGGGATCTTGAAGAGGCCCAGGAGGGAGGCCATCTGCATTGAGATTCTGGAGTAGAGACTTCCAATGACAGAGAGCACCTTCTCCTGTCTGCTGCATCTGTAGTTGGGGACCACTTGATCCCCCGTGGACAGAAAGGACAGGCCTGCCTGGTAGGTCATTCTTGCAAAGTAAGTGTCCTCAATGATGCGGAAGCCCAGCGTGACGTTGGGGAGGAGTGCCGGATCCTTGTTGATCTCACTGATGGCAAACACGAGGGCCAGGATGTGCTGATAGTTTTTGGGCACCGGGCTGCAATAAGAGGTACATGATATTGCCCAGTGGCAAAACAAGGAGTGTCATGAAAGACCTTCTGATTTCACTCACCATTTCTTAAAAAGAAAACCCTGCAGACCTAAAGACTAGTTTTGAGTCCATTCATCAGATATTTGCATTTAAATGCCCTGCCCCTTCACACAGAACACTGTGGCATTTAGAAGACTCCAACCGGCTCGGACCAAGAGTCCGTCTACTACAGCATCTTGTTTCTGAGGAAGCCTTCAGGATACCCACATGGACGACTTAAAGACAATACCCCTTTCCTGCCATCGCCTTCCCCAGCATCTGTCATTCAGGGGTAGATATTTAGTTATCATGGTTTGGCAGCTGATTGGATATTCTTTTTATAGCTCCCATGTTTGCAGTGGGGCACTAATAATTAAATTGTCCCAGTGATAAATGCTGTATCTATCAGATTTCCTAATCCATAAAAAAGGCATTCTAACCAAGGATTATTCAGTACCATTGTCAGTAAAATCAGCTTTATTTGCAACCCAGCTAACAATCCAGGTCAATTTAGCTGCTTCATTACATATTTACATATTTGCGGTTTCCATCCTTTTACGATTGCACTTATCTCCACATATTATACAACTCCACTCTGGGTGTCTAGATAAAAGTATTTAACAGGCTTTGCTGTTCTTTTGGTTCTTTGTCTGGAATCACTATGCATGAACTAGATAATAAAACACCAAAAAGTGGTCAATATCATCATGCTTGTCTCATTCACATGTCCTAGTCCTTTCCAGATTCTTAATATAGAAGCCAAACTATTGCTCAGGTCCATCTACATGGGACCTGACAGTGTCTAACACTAGATTTACGTAAGAACAGAAGAAGAGCCCTGCTGGGTAAGACCAGTAGTCCATCTAGTCCAGCATCCTGTCCCACAGAGGGGCCAACCAGGTCCTCTGGAGGACCACCAACAGGGCAGAGAGGCTGAAGCCTTCCCCTGATGTTGCCTCCTGGCTCTGGGGTCCAGAGATTGACTACCTCTGAAGGTGGAGGTTCCCCTCAGTCACCATGGCTTCCCCTCAGTCATCTGATAGATGTATCCTCTGTGAATCTATCTAATCCCCTTTTAAAGCTGTCTATGCCTGTGGCCATCACTGCATCATCATGCAGCAAATTCTACATTTTAATCACTCTCTGTGTAAAGAAGTATTTCCTTTTGCCCTTCTGCTGCTTAACAAGGGTGCCTGTTTCTAGAAGTTCCAGTGGAATTTGCTGGCCAGACTGAAAGTATTCCAACCCAGGGCCCTCCTGGCAAAACTTACCGTGGAGTATGGCTGTTCCTGGGAGGTTTTTCAAAGGACACGTGTGTAACTGTGGTCTTGAGGTGGGGCAAAATGCCACCAAAAAGGTGGTCTCCTGGCCTGTAATATGCTTCTTGGAGCTCAAAGGGCCTGGTCAAGAGGCACTTGGTCCCCAGTGTCTTGTGCACAGCCTGAGGCAAGAGGCAAAAGGAGAACAGCACCCACATCAGTACCATTTTCATGAAATCTTCCCTCTTAGATCACCAAAGAAATTACTTCATAAAACCTGGATTGCAGTCAACTGTGTGGACTTCTGTTGCCCACCCCAACCCCCTTGGATACACCCAGTCTATATGACATGCTTAATACTAACATGTTTTGTTCTGATATGGATGTTGTTTCTTTTGAGCTTGGTAGATAGAAAACATCAGGGGCTCAGTAAGAATTACTGTGATTTTGCTAATTTCAGAGGGGAGAGAGATAATCATATCTCAAAAGCACAGGGCTGTATTTGCACCTTAATCAGAGACAGATGTGTTTGTGTAACTCTGTGCTTCTCCCTGGGGCAGACAGACTCAGGGGGCTGGACTTAGGCTGCCGGATTCTGAACTTGGGCCTGTCTGAAGCTGACCAGCAAAAGGAAAATGGAGTCTGGGGGTGGTCCAAAGTGATTTATCCCAATTTGACAGCTAGATTGGAGTCTGGTACTTAAAGACCAATGGGATCTTCCAGGTATAAGCTTTTGAGAGTCAAAGATCTCTTTGTTGGACACCAATTTGATGACTGAGTTTGGAACTAGAGTTGTAAGTTCCCCAGTGGGGTTGTGGGACTTTTCAGCTAGAACTCAGAGTGTCAGCAGGAGAAAAAAGAAATAAAAAATGGCTGTCAAGCCTATGACATGATATCACTTCCAGGGGTCATCTGGAAGTGATGTCTGTCTTCTCTAGGAACTGTCAGAAACTCTATGGTTTTACCATAATTTTTTTCAGTGATTACTGGAAACGGAAAGTAAGTAACTTCACGCTGTCTCTGCCTCCCCCTCATCCCCATCCCCCTTGTCTCCCACTGTTTGTGAGGCTGGACTCCTATCCTACATATTGTTGGCAGATAATTAACACAGCAATGGTGCACAACCTGACTAAATAGTAGATAAAGGTTTATTTAGGAACTACCATACTTGATAGGAAAGAGGAGAGACAGAGATAGATTCGTAACTACATCTCTAGCTGAAAGGAGGCGGTAAAACTAAATGTGGCATTTCTGAGAAGAAGGGGGAATTGCCCTCAGAGTAGCAATCTGGAGACAGACAAGAAATGACCCTGAACAGGAGAGAGAATGTGCTGTCCTCACTATCTCTCCTTATATACAGGAGACAGGTGGACAAGATGGCGACTGGGAGTGAGCTCAGGTGCTCGAGCTCCTCCGTTATAAGTAATTTAATTTAATTTAATTTAACACGTCCTACCTAGCAAGGAATATCAGGAGCAGCATATCCTGCATTTTCAAGTATGTTGGGTGGGATGCCGGTTTACAATCTCTGCAGCGTCCAAAGACTCTGGCACGACGAAATTTATCACCTCCTTCCTCCCTGGCGCGGCCTACATCCAGCGACGCTGTCTGCGGGAGCCGCGGTACAGCGTAAGGGCCTCCCGGGACATCTATCGCCTTGCTCCCGGTGCGGTGCGAGCCCGACTGTGGGACTGGGAGGAGTTGGTGCTCAGCGCGGAGGCCCCTTCGTATGCCTGCTTTCCCACTCTTGGGGTGGTACGAAAGCATCGGCACGACTGGGAGGCAGTGCGGGGCAGCACGGGGCTCTCCTGGATGACGCTCGAGAGGTTCGTGGGGTGTCTAGGACCCTGTCCAACTGGGCTGACTGTGTGACCGCCATTTTGACGGGACCTGTGAGCAGCTACTGCTGGAGTGGCAGATGCCATTTCCAAAGCACGTGGGAGTGTGGAGTTGACGCAGGAGATGACGCGGCGGAGGCCAGCGATGAGGGGGCCTGGAAGGGGTTTTTACCTTTCTTGGGTCCCTTTGGTAGGCTGAGCGACGAGCGGTCCCTTTGGCAGGCTGAGCGGCGAGTGGTTAGTTCGCGGAGATCGTTGCACCCGAGCCGACTGGGGGATAGGGAGATCATTGGCCCTTTAGGCCCCCCCAGCTGGACAAGAGGTGTGGAACGGGTTCCACCAACGGACTGTGATCTTCTTTCCCTGAGTCCCCACGATTGGGTGGATAAATTGGACTGCGAGGCTGGGAGGCCTCTGTATTGTATTACAGTAGAGAAGAGCCGAGGACTCGAAACCAACGAAGCCCCCTAGTGGTGAGTATTGGGAACATCTTCAAGGGCTGGAAGTGATAGTGGATATCTCCAGTCCAGAACAGCTGTAGATGCAGATGTAAAACTCACTCTGTTTTAGCAATAGTTGTGAGTGTGTTGAAGTAGTGGGGGTGGGTGTATTGGTTTTGTCTGCTAGGGGGAAGTTGATGAGTGCTGCAGGATGAATGAATGTGGTTGTGTGTTTGAGTCTTCCAGGGATTTAAGTGTGTAGGAAATTAGGTTTCCCTGTATGACCATTAGGTCAGGTAAATTGTATTTTGTTTGCAGCACTTTGATTGCATTTGGTAGCAGAGGAGTAGGTAGCATTTAGTCTGTTGCATTAGGAGTGAATCTGTGACCTTTCTGTCATTCATCTCACTGGCGGTCTGAAGCTCAGCAGAGACTGGCCAGTGTAGAAAATGTCCGGACAGCAGATTCTGGTGCTCTTGGGGAGGGGGAAGTATTGCGGTGGGCCTAGGCGGGGTTTTAAGGGAAGGACGCAGAGAAATGGAACGGCTCGGCGCCCTTCCAGCCTATGGCCCATTCCAAGGGTGGCCGGCAGTGGGGCCAAGATGGAGAACCCCCCTGAGTCATTGGTATTGTGCAATGCCAGGTCCATCAACAACAAAGCCATAATCCTTCGGGACTTTGTAATGGAACAACGGGCTGACCTGGTGTGCATGACCGAGACCTGGGTGAGGGAGGGGAAGATAGTAGTTCTCACCCAGCTTGCCCCACCTGGTTTCTCGGTCCTTCACCAATCACGGAGTAAGGGGTGGGGAGGAGGAGTGGCTATTTTTATTCGGGAGGCTTACTCCTTCAGGGCGCTCCTGACTGTGGAGATCGCGGGCGTAGAGTGTGTCGGCGTGATGCTGGAGGCTGAGGAGAGTTGGCAATTTGATTGGTGTACTGACCGTCTAACGCACCGGCCAATAGCCTGCCGTCCCTGCTGGAGGCTGTATCAGGCTGGGTGTTGGAGCACCCTAGGCTGATTGTCTTGGGTGATTTCAATGTCCATGCCGAGGATGCGGCCTCCAGCCGGGCTACGGACCTAGTGTCATCCATGGTGGCACTGGGACTCTCTCAACTCATTACGGCCCCCACGCACTGGGCCAGTCACACGCCCGATTTGATCTTCGCGGCTGGAGTGATGGTGGACCAGATCACTGCGGAGGCAGTGCCATGGTCAGACCACCAGGCCCTGAAGGCCCGTCTGAATGTTCCATCCCAACCCTGTTTAGGTGGCGAGCAGATTTTTGCTTGCCCGTGCTGCCAGATGGACCCTATGCCGCTCCAGATGGCCTTGCGGGATCCGAGGCCCCCTGGCGGTTTGTTGGATGAGCTGGTGGAGGACTGGCATGACCGGCTCTTCTCAGCCATCGAAGAGATCGCTCCCAGGCATCCTCTCCGCACTCGTTCTAGGCGAGCGCCCTGGTATACACAGGAGCTGCATCAGCTGAAGCAAGAACTGAGACGACTAGAGAGACGGTGGCGTCGTGCTCACGACGAGGCATCAGGAACATCCTATAGGATGCTTATGAGATCCTATGAGATGGCAGTCAAGGCCGCAAAGAGAGATTTCTATGTGACCACGATTGCGCCTGCTAGCTCACGCCTGGCCCAATTATTTAGCACAATTCGGTCTTTGACAGCTCTGCCACAGGGCAGGCAAAATGTTAGGGAATTGGACATCGGCTGTGAGGCTTTTGCAAGCTATTTTGCAGATAAAGTCTTGGCGCTCCGCCGTGATCTCCCCACCACAATTGATACAGTAAGCGAACTTGAGGCCCCTTGCACGTCTTTGGTGCCGGGTTTAGCGTGTTTTAGTCCACTCAGCCTGGAGGAAGTTGACAGATTGCTCGTATCTGTGCGCCCAACCACATGCGACCTTGATCCGTGCCCCTCCTGGCTCATTAAAGTGGGTCGCGAGGGGTTCCGAGGTGCCCTGTGGGAGATTGTCAACAAGTCCCTCTTGGAGGGACGGTTCCCCAGGGCACTCAAGGAAGTGATGGTCCACCCTCTTTTGAAAAAACCATCTCTGGACCCGGATGAATTGGTCAACTATCGGCCGGTGTCCAATTTGCCCTATTTGGGCAAACTCATTGAGAGGGCGGTGGCGATACAGCTACAGGGCTTTCTAGATGACGCTTCTGTCCTCGATCCCTTCCAGTCCGGCTTTCACCCTGGTCATGGGACTGAGACGGTAGTGGTGCTCTGACTGACGACCTCTGTAGGCATCTGGATTGAGGTGGTGTGGCGGCACTGTTATTGTTAGATCTGTTGGCCACATTCAACATGGTCGACCACCAGTTGCTGGCCCACTGCCTCGCTGACATGGGTATTCAGGGGCTTGCCCTTCAATGGTTTGCCTCTTTTCTCCAAGGTCGGGGACAAAGGGTGGTGATAGGGGATCAGCAGTCCCAGAGGTGGCCTCTCGAATGTGGGGTGCCTCAGGGAGCGGTGCTGTCCCCAATGTTGTTTAACATCTACATGCGCCCCCTTGCCCAGATTGCCCAGAGTTGTGGGCTTGGGTGCCATCAATATGCAGATGACTCCCAGCTCTATCTGATGTTGGGTGGCCAGTCGGACTCCACCCCGGATGACCTTCATCGGGCGTTACAGGCCGTGGCTGGTTGGCTCAGACTGAGTCGGCTGAAACTAAACCCAGCAAAGAGGGAAGTCCTGGGTCTGAGTCAGATCGGTTTGGGGTTGGGGCTCCCTCTCCCAACCTTCGATGGGCGCCTTTGGTGCCAGCGTCGGAGGTTAGGAGTTTGGGTGTGCTCCTGGACTCCTCTTTAACGATGGAGGCCCAGGTGGCAGCCACTGCCAAGTCAGCCTTTTATCATCTTCGGCTGGCACCGCAGTTCGTCCCTTTCCTAGACCGTGATGACCTGGCCACAGTGATCGATAACTTCAAAGTTAGACTACTGTAACGCTCTCTACATGGGGCTGCCTTTGTCGCAAATTCAGAAGCTGCAGCTAGTGCAGAATGCTGCAGCCAGGCTGTTGATGGGTCTCTCTAGATGGGATCACATCCGGCCTGTGCTGAAAGCGCTGCACTGGCTGCCAATGGCATACCGGATTCACTTCAAAGTGCTGGTTCTTACCTTTAAAGCCCTATATGGCCAGGATGCGGCTTACCTAAGGGACCGCCTTTCCCCGCATGTTCCCCCAAGGACACTACAGTGGGAGAGTCAAAATCTCCTGGAAATTCCAGGCCCCAGGAACATCAAATTTGCTGTCACCAGGGCCAGGGCATTTTCGGTGGCGGCTCCTACCTGGTGGAACGAGTTCCCAGAAGAGATCCGGGCCCTGCAGGACCTTGTGCAGTTCCACAGGGCCTGTAAAGCGGAGCTCTTCCACCAGGCATTTGAGTAGGAGCCGCCGCCACCGCTTTTCTATCACCGCTTCTTCCAACACCACACTTTCACCACTGCTTGGGTGGGCATCATCGGGGTGCGAGATGTTCCTGGTGGATGACAGTGCTGCTGGGACGTATGTTGCTGTTCTGGTACTAACTCCAGAGCCCCATCTTGTAATTTACGATTTAAGTGACCTTTGGAGCACTGATATTTTAGTGAACCGTATTGTACTGTATTGTTTTATACTGTTTTATTGTTTTAACCTTGGCATTTTTGCCTCATTGTAAGCCGCCCTGAGCCTTTGGGGAGGGCAGGATATAAATCCAAAAATAAATAAAATAAAAAATAAATATATAATTGTGTTTTGGTCATGGGCTCTCCTGAACATTCCACACACTCCCAAATCCATTGGCTCCCTGATCTGTCATTCAGAGGGTGTCCCTAGCCACTGGCTGTGTTGCCTGAGTCCCGCCCAGCCACCACTCAAGAGTACTTGCATGCCATTGGCTGGGTGCTGGGTTTGCTTCTCTTCCCCACCCACGCCTTCAGCCACTGTGCCCTGTCAGAATTTCTGGCAAACGGCTTTCTCTCTTGATGAAGACACTTGCTTCCTGTGTGGGACTAATTTTCCCCTCAGTAGCTGTTGGTAGGTGTAACGAAATGGCAGTTACCCATGTCTGTAAGATGGCTGCCCTCTGTGTGTTTACAATGTTCCCCCATAAGGCTTAATTGAGCTGTAGAGTGCCGAGAAGGGCCTGCAGGGATATCACTCACTGGGTTGAATGGGGCTTCCTCATCTGCTGACAGAATGTTTGGGTGAAGAAATGCACAAGCGGTGGTTCACAACCCTGGGATGAAGAACCACTTATGTACACATTGCTAACTGAGTAAAAAAAAAAAAGGCAGGTGGATGGAGCTGTGTGACAGTGCAAAGATGCAACTCTGCAATCAGATTTCCCTAACGGCTTGAGTTTGCAAGAGGTTGTTCAGATATCCAGAAGTGCATGGTGAAACCAGTTGAATCTGTAAAGAACTGACTTTCTCCGGTGTCAGGAAAGTTGGGGGAGAGAATGGGAGGCCTACAACTGCTGAACGGGATAGGGACGATGCTGTTTGAACGAGCATTTTAAATCTGAAGGGGTGAAGCAATTACATCGGATCAAATAGCTCTTATGACCACTACCTAACTATCATTAAATGTTGGAATCAAGAGAGAATTGTTTAAAAATGCTTTGTTGTTGGTATTTGACCCCCACAACATTGGCTGAAGTCTCAGGAGGTACTGACATTTGTTGAAAGAAGATAAAGGGATCCTTTTTTCCCCCCACCTATAGTGGACCTGCCCAGTTGTTTTAAAAAAATCTGGAATAGTGTGGATAATAAAATTGAAGTTATTTTGCAACATACATTTAATTGTCCACCAAAGATCTACTTATTGAATGACTGCCCCACTAGTCTGAATTTGGGAAGAAGTGTTTATTATCTCTGTTGGCTGTAGCTGCAACAATGGTATTGGCACAAAAATGGAAGGACTGGTTGGCGCCATCTTTGAGACTGTGCTTACATGAAGTATGGGTCACATGAACAATGAACAAAGCATCGCTGTACAGGTACATGTAGATGTGCAAAGGCTGGCCTGCTCCTAAATTAGTGAAGATTTAGAAATTACATGCATTGTATTGCAATAGCCTTAAAGGCTGTCAGGATGTGCAACTACAGAGACTGGAATTTGCATGAAAGATGGTTGTATTTATTTAGAGTTTGGGAAGTAGAATAAAACCAAGTATTTCTCTGTGTGTGTGTTTCTATACCTGTATCTACATTTTATCTATAATCTATCATCTATCTATCTTATCTTTTTTAAAAGTCACTTTTGGGTTTCCTAGCTGAATTTTTAAATGTTCATTCTTCAGTAGTGTTGACCACCAGCATGAGGAGCTATAATGAACTAAAACTTGAACAAGCAGAGAATATTTAAAAAATTGGCTTCCTATATTACTTGTTCCTTAGGAGGTGATCTCTGCTATTGAGATCAGGCCTCAGAAAAATAATGTAGCATTTGGGAAGAAAGATGCAGCCCAGGAGACCAGCACCAGAGGCCAAGATGGAGAAGACCTCCACAGCCACCATAGACTTCCCTTTAGTACTCAGGTAGGTGGGCACAAAGGAGACCCACACGCTGCAGAAGACCAGCATGCTGAAGGTGATAAACTTGGCTTCATTAAAGCTGTCGGGTAGTTTCCTGGCAAGGAAAGCCACCATGAAGCTGACCAGGGCCAGAAATCCCATGTATCCCAATACTGTGTAAAACATGACGACTGACCCCTCATTACATTCCACTATGATCTCTTTGCCCAAGGAGTGGAAGTCCAAGTTGGGGAAAGGGGGAGAGGTTCCTAGCCAAAGTGCAGAGGCAATAACTTGCAGGAGAGGACAGGCCAGGACAATGACATTTACCCCTTGTCTCCCCAACAGCTCCCTTGCCATGTTTCCTGGCTTAGTGGCCATGAAGGCCACAACCACCATGGTAGTTTTTGCCAAGATAGACGAAATGGCAACAGAGAAGATCACAGAAAAAGCAATTTGTCTCAGAAGGCAGGTGAAGTTTGTAGGTCGACCAATGAATAGGAAGGAGGAGAGGAAGCAGAGCAGGAGGGAGATGAGGAGGACATAGGTGAGTTCTCTGTTGTTGGCTTTGACAATGGGTGTGTCTCGATATTTAATGACAGTTGCCAGGACTAGGGCTGTGATCAGAGACAGCAAAAGAGCAAGAGAAGCCAAAACAATCCCCAAAATCTCCTGATAGGAAAGGAAGCTTATGTTCTTGGAGATACATTGGTCTTTGTTCTTGTTTGGATATTGATCTTCTGAACATGGGACACAATGATCAGCATCTGGAACAAACAACTATGAATTAATTAATTCCAGCACAACACAAATAATGTTTGTGTAGTATTCAGTTGAGCCTTTATCAAGGAGATGGAATGATAACAGTGTCTAGCTAGTGGTAAGACTGAGTTTCCTGCTGCATAATATCTGTGAAATATAGCCTGTTGCACAGTAATATTGTTATATATTTATAAATACTAAATGTGCAACACAGAATATAATCTGGCTCGCTGTTAATTTATGGACAATTCTGACATTCTAACTTGAGGAGGAGGGAAGTAGCTTGAAGTTATGCTCCAAATGGGATCCAAAAAGGACACCTGTGTAGGTAGCCCCTTTTCAAAATCTTTCAGAATTACTAGTGTCAATCTAAAGGTGCAAATTTGCTTTGATGTTTCTCTCTTTCTACTTCTGCATCTTACTTGAGAAGAATTCTACATAAGAAATGCATGATAAAGACAGACAATGTTTTGAAATTCACACCTTGAAGATTTAAATCTAAAAATAACAGAAAGAAGTTCTGGAAGGGAAAGAATTCTCCAGATAATATCCCAAAACTGAACTTAGTGAAGAAGAGAAAAAATATCTCAAAGTTTGTATTAGAGAATCAGTTTTTTTCATTATACAGACTGTGGGTGCTTATCAGTGGTAGTGTCGGGGCTGAACATTGCATGGGCTCCACAAGAGAACTGTTGCTCCTTATCTGAAGTATGCATTATAATCTAAAAAGGCAGGCATAAGTCCATAACTCCAGAGTCTAAACTTAAGCCATCTTTACAGCCCTTGCGAGCCACTCAGTGTCCAGCAACTTCAACCCTTTAAGTTGGGGTTTCAAGATTTGTTGAACTACCTGAATGGTTGGAAATCATCCCTTCTGGACAAAGTTCACATTCATAACAACAAGGTGGCCTTTGTTGTATAACTTTTCTGCTGTATCCTGGCGAGCAGCTCTCCACACACCTGGAGGAGGGCATCTTCTAAATGGAAGAAAGAAGAACTGGTGAGATTTTCCAAGTGAGTGGGGTTCTTTCCACACCCTGATGATTCTCCGTGGAGCTCTTAGGGATGGGCACAAACTGGGAAAATGCGGTTCAGTTCATGGTTTGTGGCATGCCCCATTCGTGAACTACGGACTTTCACAGATTTCAACCACTTCACAAACTGATTTGGTTTGTGAGGTCTATGAGGTGGTAGAACACCCCCCACACACACACATGCTAGAGACACCAAAGTCACAGGGATCATTTGATTACTCTCTCCCAATCTGAACAAGTGACAAGTGTACTGGATCGAGGGAATGCTGTTGATTTTGTTTACATGGATTTCAGTAAAACTTTTGGCAGGTTTCCCAATGATGTTCTAATGGGTAAACTAAAGGTCTGCAGACTGGACTCTAGGATAGTTAGGGGGATAGGGAACTGGTTAGTGAACCACACTCAGATGGTAGTTGTTAATGGAATTTCATCTGAATGGAAGGAGGTATCCAGTGGAATGCCACAGGGCTCGGTTCTGGGCCCAGTACTTTTCAATATTTTTATAAATGATCTGGATGAGGGTGTTAAGGGGATAGTCATTAAATTTTCAGATTACACCAAATTGGGAGGAGCAGCGAGCACACCAGAAGATAGAGATATAATTCAATAAGATCTGAACATGCTGGAAAAGTGGGCGGATGTGAACAAGATGCAATTTAACAAAAATAAGTGCTGAGTTCTACAACTGGGTAACAAAAATGAGGAACACGTATACTGGATAGGGGTACACTTCTGAGTAGCAGTGTGTGTGAACAAGATCTTGGGGTTAGGGTGGACTGAAAGTCAAATATGAGTAGCCAGTGTGATGAGGTGACAAAAAAGGCTAATGCAATCTTTGGGTGTATCAGCAGAGGCATAACATTCAGATCACAAGATGTCATAGTCTCGCTGTACACTGCATTGGTCAGGCCACACCTGGAGTATTGTGTGCAGTTCCGGAGGCCTCACTTCAAAAAGGATGTGGACAGAATGGAGCGCGTGCCGAGAAGACCAATGAGGATGATCAGGGGCCTGGAGATCAAGCCCTATGAGGAAAGGCTGAGGGACTTGGGAATGTTTAGTCTGGAGAAGAGGAGTTTGAGGGGGGACATCATTGCTCTCTTTAAGTATTTGAAGGGCTGTCACAGAAGGGCAGAGAACTGTTCCTGTTGGCAGCAGAGGATAGGACTCACAATAATGGGTTTAAATTAAGGGCGGGAAGGTACTGGCTGAATCTCAGGAAAAACTTTTTTACAGAAAGAGTTGTTCAACAGCGGAATCAGCTGCCTAGGGAGGGGGTGAGCTCCCCTCACTGGCAGTCTTTAAGCAGCGGCTGGACAAAAACTTGTCAGGGATACTGTAGGCTGATCCTGCATTGAGCAGGGGGTTGGACTAGGTGGCCTGTATGGCCCCTCCCAGCTCTGTGATTCTATGATTCTATGATACTTGCCCTCCATGTTTGGTGAGGATTGGATTTAAAGGGTACATGTTATGCCCCCCCAAATAGGGTGCCCCCAGGAAAGTGCCTGTCATTTCCCCAGAAAGCACTTTCCTCAGGGCATCTTTCTGGGTGGCTGTAACTCGGACCCTGTATATCCAATCCTCACCAAGCTTGGAGGGCAGGTAGAGGAGAGTAAAGCTGAAGATCCCCTGCAAGGTTGGTGCCTCTAGCATGCACAGGATCTGTTCTATACACTCCCAAACCTCCCGAACCTGCACCTGTCAAAATGATTCGGGAGGTTTGGGAGTGTATAGAGTGGATCCTGTGTAAGCTAGAGGCACCAAACTCATAGTGGACTGTCCCCGGATGTTCCTTTACATGCTTTCCAAATTTGGTGTCTCTAGTTTGCAAGGGGTCCATTCTATACACGCCTGCATTTTCACCTGTCAAAATGCCCATAGCAGTCATTTTAACAAGTGCAGGTTCAGGAGTGTATAGAATGGATCCTGTGCAAGCTAGAGACACCAAACTCATAGTGGACTGTCCCCGGATGCTCCTCTACTTGCCCTTCAAGTTGTTGCTTTGAAGTTATGTAAATATTTTGAGTGAGCGGATATGGTCTGGCAAGAAGTGTCTTTGCTCACGAACTGCACGAAAGTTTGTGGAAAGCTCATGCTGGTTGATCTGCCATAAGCTTGACTTCGTAAACCACAAATTTATGAACTTTAGCTTGTGGCCATCCCTAGAACTCTCACTGCTGCTGTGAATGTGTAGACACTCACATTGCAACACAGTAGTTCCCCCCCCCCCCCCAGTTATCTCAACTTGGCCTGGAATGACTTTCTTGCATTAAAGAACTACTGAAAGGGGTTTTCTTTGGTATGGTGAAATGAATCACCAGTTAAGCAGGATGAGATCTTTCTAGGAAATATACAACCAGTAAAACAGGATGAAAAATTACATTATTCTGGAGACCAATATCTGAACAAAGCTGGCCTTTAGTCTGTTCTATCAGCAAATTTCTCTACTATTACCCAAGAATATTGACTTCTTCCCCACCTGGGTAGCCCAAACAATTGCATCTGTGTTAATGATGAATTCTCTGCCTGGGGGGGCCCTCGGATCCATCCTTCCCACTTTCACTTGAGCTGAAGATTGATTTGGGAAGAAAGCCAAGTTCAGAATGTCATAGCCAGCTGATCTCTTGTCATTTTCACTGAAAAACACTTCCTCGCCAGCACTGTTGTTGAACCGGGTGCTCCTCAAAGAGGCAAGGATCTGAAATGAGATCCTAAGAAAATGATGTAATAGTTATGACCACTAGTGGGGCTGGTTGCAGGTTTTGGTGGGCCATAGGCATAGACTTCCCAAGGCCCCCTTTCCCTCCACCATCAGGACCCCTGCTTATACCCTCCCTTCCGTCTGCATGCCACTCACCTACCTGTATGTCTTGTCCCTATCCTGTTGCCAACCCTTCCATCGCCTATGCTCACAGCTGCCTGACCACCTGCAGCCCTTTCCCTGGCAATGGCCGTGTGTGTAGCTGGGAGAATGGGTTGCTAGCAAGAGAGTGGTCAGGGGGGAGGGGTTGACAGTACTGGGCCCCAGCAGAAACCCTGGGCCCTGGCGGCTGCCCCTCTTCAGGTTCCTAGCCCTTGGGGGACCGGTCCTTTGGAATTCAGTCTGGGCTGCCACAAGAAGAAAGGATGGTTTCTGTAGTTGTTTCCTTAATGGAAAAGCCAAGGGTGAATTTTCAGTGGGCACTAATGGCCAGGTGACTTCTTTATCTCTCTGTGTTGGGGGCCATCTCTTATGGTAGCTACTTCTCATGACACACACTCCATATGCTTGGATGGACGCTGGAAGCAATAGAAGTTCCGAGTTGGTATGTCCTCACTGCAAGTCCCCATGGGCTGGGTGGGGGGTGCAGAGGAAAACCCACATGGGTGGACTGGAGTCCCAGCACTGCGGCACTGTGCAGACCCTCCCATACCCCAACAGAAGATCATCTACATCCCCCTCTCCATGCAAACACTGATCCCTGAGGCCATCTGGGACAGCATCCCCAGAGCTGCAGGCTGAGTGGGGAAGGTACGAATGCAGTGACTCCCAACTTACCAGTGAGGGTGTTCCCGAAGTGAAAGGGTTCTGCTTGATTGCTGCAGATGAGGTTGTTCTGCCACGCTGAAGTAACAATTGGAGTGGCTCTGCCCACCCACCCACCCCTGAGCAGCATCCTGTTCCGCCTTGGCACCGTTTGCTCATTGGCTGCATAGTAGCCCTGAATGGGCCAGTTCCAGCCCCCGGGTCTTATGTCTGACACCCCTAGTCTAAGGGATGAGAAGCCAACCCAGTGCTGATAGTGCTTCCGCTAAGCGTGACCTTGCTAGCACAGGCTCACTAACAGCAATGGGAGTCCAGGGGAACCCATGGATGGATGTATGGCCAGTGCTGACACTGGGGAATCAAGTCAGCCCAAGAAAACGACGTACTTCTAAATGTGTAATCTGGTTTTATTGCATTGCTGATTGGATGTGGTGCATACTGCTCTAACTGCATTCTTTTTACTTGTGTACAGCGTTCCGTGCGCCTTGGTGTTTAGTCATGCCAGCCACATGACCACGGAAACGTCTTCGGACTGCGCTGGCTTGTCGGCTTTGAAACGGAGATGAGCACCGCAACCCTAGGGTCGGATTCGACTGGTTTTCGAGCAAGGGAACCTTGAAGAAGAAGAAGAAAAAGAAGAAGAAGAAGAAGAAGAAGAAGAAGAAGAAGAAGAAGAAGAAGAAGAAGAAGAGGAGGAGGAGGAGGAGGAGGAGGAGATTGGATTTATACCCCGCCCTTCACTTGGAGTCTCAGAGCGGCTTACAAACTCCTTTCCCTTCCCCTCCCCACAACAGACACCCTGTGAGGTGGGTGGGGCTGAGAGAACTCTGACACAAAGTGCTCTTTTTCAAGGACAGCTGTGCCAGAGCTTGTGACTGACCCAAGGTCACATCAGCAGGTGCAAGTGGAGGAGTGGGGAATCAAACCCGGTTCTCCCAGATTAGAGTCCGCGCTCCTAACCACTACACCAAACTGGCTTACCTTTACCTAGTCTCCTTTGAGTCTCAGGAAAAAGAGGTGGACCATAAATGAAGGAAGGCCCAGAAGGTGAGCTGGCCATGCAGACTCAGTGATAGATAGCAAACCCGGCGAGAGGAATTGTGGAAGACTCTACCTGCAGCACCAGATAGGTTCTGTGGTGTAATGTGTCTTTAAGATCACTTAGAGCTTGTTATGACCACCTGCAGGGTATTAGCAGGGTGGGGTTTTATCAGTCATTTTACTTGTTTGGGGAGCCAGTACGTTGTGAGCGTGTACCGATAGCTGGCACAAGGTTTGTTGAATAAACATTCTTGGATTAAACCCTGCCTGAGACTGTGACTGAGATTTGTCCTGGACAGTGGACATCACATGGTGTCAGAATTATGGACTTTGTAAGACCACCGCCTCCGTTTGTGTTTAAAGGCAATTTGGCTGAAAGATGGAAGAACTGGGAGCAAAGGTTTAGTTATTTTCTGGCTGCTATTGGAGCCTGTTTACTCCAAGAAAATAAGCCAGTATCATATGCCTCAAGGTCATTAAGTGTTGCTGAACAGAATTATGCCCAAATAGAAAAGGAGTTACTTGCTGTGTTATATGCATTGAGAAAATTCCATCAATATGTCTTTGGTAAAGTAGTTACAGTCCAAACGGATCATAAACCGTTGGAGGTAATCTTTAAAAAACCAATTGGCAATGCGATACATTATCAAGGGCTACAGTAGATCCCCCTGTAAGTGATGAGGGATCTGTAGAAGGGGAGAGAGTAGTATATCAAGTTGACACACTAGCCATGCACCCTAAAGGAGTGACTACGTTACAGGAAGCTACTAATCAAGATGGTCAGCTCCAGATAGTAATGGCCCTGGTAAAGTCAGCATGGCCACAGTATTTTAAAGATGTTCCTGGTGAGGCTAAGTCATTTTGGTCAGTTAAGAATCTTTTGCGATGTGAAAATGGAATTCTCTATGTGGGTCAAAGAGTGGTTATTCCTTTGGCAAAAAGATGAGAGATGGTAGGCCAGCTTCATGACTCGCATCAAGGTATGCCGCGCAGCTAGGAAATGAATCTTCCTGCCTGTCTTTTAACAATTCTCCAAAAGGTAACACTGCTCTTTTCAGATTTCACTCCCCCCTCTTCTCCTGTTAAATCAGTCTCTGTTATGTCCGGGGGGGGTTTCCCCCTCCTCCCTTGCGCTTTTTCGCTGGGGGGGGCGTGCGCTTCACTCCTTTTCCCGTTTCGGACCGGCAACTCACAGTTTTGGCCGAATATCTTCCTTTTAAACGCTTATCCGCTTCATCACCCGGTGACGTCCGGTGGCTCTGCTAGTCCCCGTGTGGGGCACTGCCGCGGCTAGGGCCATTGGGGCATGGGGCGAGCCTCAATTTCCGACCATCTGGCCAGGAAAGAGGCACATCCCCTGTGCGCCTTGGATCGGAACCCCTAACTGAGGTTCCTTAGGGTCTCCGCTTGTGCGGATCCCCCCCCTTGGCCGCGCGTGGGCGAATCGACTTCGGGAGCTCCCCGAAGATGTGACCGCCATTCACAGAGTCCAAACCAGAAGCCTCCCCAGCACAAATGGGGAGTGACAAAAGGTTTGTTGTATCCTAAGATTCCTAGTGGAGTTAGAGAGAACCTGCAGGAAGTTCAAAGAAAACAAAAGCAATTTTATGATAGGACAGCAAAATCGCTTAAGCCACTACAGCCAGGAGATTTGGTGTGGGTGGAAGCCAAAGAACGATGGTTTCCAGCATAGGTGGTAGAGAGGTGTGTGCAGCCTCGGACATATCAAGTCATAACTCCAGATGGGACTATATATAGGAGGAATAGATGCAAACTCAGGTACCAACAGAGGGATGTAGGGGAGGAGGAGCAGGAGAATATAGGACAGAAAGTTAACATAGGGGAAGATGTGAAGGGCCAGACACAATCAGAAGAACAACAGGGTAATCAAAATGATAAGGAGGAAGAAGAGACTCCAGATGCACAACGGCATGAAAATATACCGGAACAGACCCAGGAGGAAGGAAGGCAGCCTAGATATGTAACATCTAGAGGCAGGGTTGTATTCTCGCCAGAAAGATATATAGCTCAATAATATGTGGTCTTAATTACACTCTTAATGGTTGAACAAAATGTTTTGTATATATATTCTCTGTATATGTCTTTTTAGTTATGCATTATGTGTAAACCAAAGAGATTTTAAAGTTATCTCTCCCTTTAAAAGAGGGAGATGTGGTGCAATGTGTCTTTAAGATCACTTAGAGCTTGTTATGACCACCTGCAGGGCATTAGCAGGGTGGGGTTTTATCAGTCATTTTACTTGTTTGGTGAGCCAGTACGTTGTGAGCGTGTACTGATAGCTGGCACAAGGTTTGTGGAATAAACATTCTTGGATTAAACCCTGCCTGAGACTGTGACTGAGATTTGTCCTGGACAGTGGACATCACAGGTTCCATGAGAGTTGGGGAGCAAGAGAGGGAAATGGAAGCTGTAAACTCCCTTCCAACTGATTCTAAGGCCCTAGAGCTTCCAGCCCCCTTGGTGGAGGTGGGGGTCCCATGCTGCCAGTCCCTGCCCCTGCTGGCAATCAGCTGGCCAGTGGGGGGGGGACTTACCAGGAGAAAGAGGAAGGTCCAGGCTACCTTACCGGCATCACAGAGGAAGTGATGTCATCATGTATATACATTTTGAGCCTGCCCTGCCAGGGAGGGTGGGATATAAATTAAACAAACAAACAAACAGATAAATAAATAAATTTTTAAAATCATGCCACCAACGTCTAGGTGATGCTCTGGTACTTGAGCAAAAACTCTATAGTAGAAGCTGTTTTACTGTAGAATTTTTGCCCAAATAGCAGAGCATCAGAGCTTGATGACACACTTCCTGTGTGATGCCAGCCATGTGACCTGGGCCTTCTTTCTCCTGGTAAGTCCCCCCTATCCACCACCAGTTGCCAGGAGGGACCTGGTAACTATACAAGGTCCAGAAATAGCAGCTTAAGAGATGGGGGAGGTTGCCTTGCTCAGGAGAACAAGGACCCTGAGTTGTCTCTGGCACTGCACAAAGAAGTAGTTATAACAGGAACTTCTGCTACTTTTTCCTCACAAGGAAAACAACCCTGTGGCAGCTGTTCCTCCTTCTCTATGGCCAAAGAAATTGCCAGCCACGAAGGGCACCACATCAGATTGCTTAGTTTATTCGGGATGGGTCAGTGCTGGGCTGACATGTCCTGGGCTGTCCATTCCTTGACGCAAGAGCCACGTAGCAGAGGGAGGATGTTACCTGCCATGGCTGGACACCCAGAAGCCTCTCGCCATTCCCCATCATTGCACGTCTCGATCCAAATGTGTACATGGCATGTAGCGCATGTGCCACAGAATAAACAGCATTGTAAACATTATAGCTGTTTCCAGTCATGCTCATTTCGAATACAGAGGGTGGGAGGTTCTCGAGGTCCTCCTTCCCTGTACAGTTCTTAAAGCCTCCAGGAAATTCATCTGGTTTTTTAAATAAACATAAGAATACAAGTTTCCACCACTCTTTAAGAAAGACGTCTCCCTGGGGATGGCGTGGATCTAAAGTCTGGAGAAAACTGTGGAACCCTGGCACATCACTTGCATGGCCTCTGAAGGACAGGGCACCATGGAAGGCCTCCACAGCCTTCCAGCTAAAGAAGGAGCCCACTGCAGCAAATTCCCACTGACTTGTCACAATCCACACCTTTTCTATAGACGTCTTAGTCTTAGCTTTGTATATCATAAGGGGTCGGATTAAATTCCGTATGGCATTGGAGTCGCCGGAGACAACAACAACTTTGGCCTTAGTGTCTGAGACAGCTATAGCTAGATTCATATCTTTATATGCACTTGTATAGTACACTGAGATTTCAGACAATGTCCGTTTAGTGAACTCGACACAGATGTTGTTCTGGTCAAGCATCGGTGTTAGGGCTTGGATGAAGTTTTCTCCGCCGTCATCATCTGGAGCAACAATCCCAATCCAGTTCCAGTGGAAATGAAGAAGTAAGTGGATTATCCCCAAATACTGTGGGACTTCACTGGGCTCAATCTGGGAGAAGGAAGGAAATATGCTCCTCTCTTTCAGAACAGGACTGAAGGAGCCATAACCGAGCTGGTGGAAGGAAGGAAGACTTTTAGTTGAAAAACAGATTTCTTAATGTTGTGCAGTTATCTTCAGGGCTCCCCAAAAATCAGGACTGTGGAGGTAATCCCATGTCCTGTCAACTGGATTTTCCTCTTCTTTCTCAAGAAATAATTTCTGGTGCGAGATCTTGCTGTCTCTGTTCTGTCTTGTCTGAAAAGATTGAGGCCAAGAAGGCATTGGGTTCAGCAATGCATCCAACTGGGCCATGAACTATTTCTGAGAAAGAGAAATGAAGAAACCACTCTGGGACACACTGTGTGTACATGTGTGTGTGCAAGTCTGTGTGTGAGTAATTAACACATGGAATTCACTGCCGCAAGAAGTGGTGACAGCTACAAGCACAGACAGTGTCAAGAGGGGATCGGATAAACATATGGAGTAGAGATCCATCAGTGGCTATTAGCTATAAGGTATGGAACACTATCTCTAGGGCAGTGATGCTCTGTATTCTTGGTGCTTGGGGGTACAACAGTGGGAGGGCTCCTATAGTTCTGGCCCTGCAGGTGGACCCCCTGATGGCACCTGAGTTTTGGCCCCAGTGTGACACAGTGTGTTCAACTGGATGTTCTTACGAGCACATGTTTACCACTAAATCTTGCCCAGTACCTGCTATTTCTTCTCCTTTGTATTTAGCTCACCAGCATCTAAACAGTACATCTGCTTTCTTTCCAGACAGAAATCATTGTGTAGCTGATGTGGGGTGGTAGCATTGGTAGAAGTGTCAGAGCCTCTCAGCCTTGATGAGTATTTTGATAAGCATTTTGCAGCCCTCTTTCTGACAATTAAGACCTTCTGAAGGACTCTTACAAGGGCGTTCACCCAGGCAAATGTTCCCAGAGAAATTTCTCTTTGCTCAAGGAATAATGTCAGTGGCTTGAAGGAACTTTAGTAAACTGGTTAAGTTCAACTGGAACCCGTCCAGGCAATAACATACTCCAATAATGGCCCCCACTCTTCTGGTTCTGTGTTTGAAGGGTTCTGTTTCTAACCTGGGTACCACTGTCTTGTGGCAGGGAATACAGCGAAAGCTTTATCAAAGGTCATAGTTCACATCTCAGAGAGACCTGTGGAGGACATGATATGGTGGGGTTTTATGGGCACTGGAATTCACTGCACAATATTGTTTGGGAGGCCCCTCAGCTACCACTGAAGCTGCCACATCACAGGGTAATCCAATACAGGAGACCACATTGACTGCCCCGAAGAGAGAACAGACTGGCTATATTAAGGAACAACAGAAGTACATTCAAGTGTTGGTCTGAAGCTGCCTTGTACTGAATCAGAGCCTTGGTCCATCAAAGTCAATATTGTCCACTAAGTCTGGTAGCAGTTGTCCAGGGTCTCAGGCAGAGGACTTTCACATCACCTGCTGTCTTGTCCTTATACCTAGGGATGCTGGGGATTGAACCTGGGACCTTCCGCATGCCAAGCATGTGTGCGCACACAAAAGCTTATACCCAGAATTATACTTAGTTGTTCTTAAAGGTGTCACTGGACGCAAACTTTGTTCAACAGAAGTACATGTAAACTTGGATGTCGAGATGCAAAGCCCATTCTCATGAAGCACTTTTACTGACCCATAATGTTGGTGGGCCCTGACCTGGAGAGCCCAGGCGAGCTCGATCTCCTCAGAACTTAGCAGTAAGCAGGGTTGCCCTTGGCTAGTACGTAGGTGGGAGACCTCCATGGAAGTCCAGGATCACAACACAGAGGCAGGCAGTGGCAAACCACCTCTGTTAGTCTCATACCTAGAATTGGGTCAACAGAAGTCAGTTGTGACTTGATGGCCCTTTCCACCACCAATGTTGGTTGAATTTATATAAGCACTACGTTCTATGAGTAGTTCATTTAATTAAAATCTTTGCACAATCCAGGTTCTCTATGGCTATTTCCGGGCAGGTGGTGGTGGTGGTGGTGGTCAGTTTCGTAGTTCTTTGGAACAAGTCCATAAAAGGCAGCCAGGCCAGGAGCCAGGAATTCCAGCATCCGGTCCAAGTGCCTCAGTTTCATCCCTGCTGCTTCCCTCCTCCTGACGGAAACCTCTTTTCTCAGTCAATCTATCGAGCACAGTTTTATCCTCATCCTAAGGGCTCAGGCCAGCTTGCATGGTTCTTTCCATTTCTGAGTCATTCTTACAGCAATAACTCTGTGAGGTAGGTGTGACTGAGGTGAATGGCCCCTAACCAGCCAGCGTGCATCATGGAACCCACATCACTCAGATCCTCGTCTGACATTCTAACCACTGCTGACTATAACTCTAAATTCTTAACAAAGCCAATATATTTCTGAAGTTCTCCACTCTCATGTGCCCTTCGGCCAGCCCCATTGCCTCCCCTACATGTTCACTCCACTCCCCAAACACACTTTTATCCCCATAAAAAGGCACTTTTACCTGCGGGATCTTGAAGAGGCCCAGGAGGGAGGCCATCTGCATTGAGATTCTGGAGTAGAGACTTCCAATGACAGAGAGCACCTTCTCCTGTCTGCTGCATCTGTAGTTGGGGACCACTTGATCCCCCGTGGACAGAAAGGACAGGCCTGCCTGGTAGGTCATTCTTGCAAAGTAAGTGTCCTCAAAGATGCGGAAGCCCAGTGTGACGTTGGGGAGGAGTGCCGGATCCTTGTTGATCCCATTGATGGCGAACACGAGGGCCAGGATGTGCTGGTAGTTTTTGGGCACCTGGCTGCAATCAGAAGTAGTGCAATGAAAGACCTTCTGGTTGCAACAACCATTGCTTAGAAAGAAAACCCTGCAGACCTAAAGACTAGCTTTAAGTCCATTCATCAGATACTTGCATTTAAATGCAAATGACTTGAGCTGGCCTCTGCCGGGAGTGCAGGGCAAAAATTCCAGATTCTCAACACAGAACCCAAACTATTGCTCAGGTCTATCTACATGGGACCTGACAATGTCTAACACTAGATTCATGTAGGAACATAAGAAGAGCCCTGCTGGATCAGGCCAGTGGTTCATCTAGTCCAGCATCCTGTCTCACAGAGTAGCCAACCAGGTCCTCTGGAGGACCAACAACAGGGACTAGAGGCCGAGGCCTTCCTCTGATGTTGCCTCCTGGCACTGGGATTCAGAGGTTGACTGCCTCTGAATGTGGAGGTTCCCCTCAGTCACCATGGCTAGTAGCCACTGATAAATATATCTTCTGTGAATCTATCTAATCCCCTTTTAAAGCTGTCTATGCCTGTGGCCATCACTGCATCCTCTGGCGGTAAATTCCACATTTTAATCACTCTCTGTGTAAAGAAGTATTTCCTTTTGCCCTCCTGGCAAAACTTACCGATCAAGATGGATGTTCCAGGGATGTTTTTCAAAGGACGCACGCGTAATCGTGGTCTTGAGGTGGGGCAAAATGCCACCAACAAGGTGGTCTCCTGGCCTGTAATATGCTTCTTGGAGCTCAAAGGGCCTGGTCAAGAGGCACTTGGTCCCCAGTGTCTTGTGCACAGCCCGAGGCAAGAGGCAAGAGGAGAACAGCACCCACATCAGTACCATTTTCATGAAATCTTCCCTCCTAGATCAGCAAAGAAATGACTGCGCAGAACCTGGATCACAGTCAACTGTGTGGACTCTCAGATGGTAGGGATGTGTCAATATGTGTCAACATGCTCCTTACCCAATATACATGACATGCTTAATACAAACTTATTTTGTTCTGATCTGGATGTTGATTATTTCAAGCTTGGTAGATAGAAAACATAGGGGAGTCTGTAAGAATTACTGTGATTTTGCTAATTTCAGAGGAGAGAGATAATCACATCAGAATAGCGCAGGGCTGTATTTTCACCTCAGTCAGAGACAAACGTGTTTGTGTAACTCTGTGCTTCTCCATGGGGCAGACTGACTCAGGGGGCTGGACTTAGGCTGCCAGATTCTGAACTTGGGCCTGTCTGAAGCTGACCAGCAAAACCCAAAATGGCATCCGGGGGGCTGGTCCAAAGTGGTTTATCCCAATTTGACAGCTAGATTGGAGCCCAGTGCTTAAAGACCAATGGGTTCTTTGGGGTATAAGCTTTCGAGAGCCAAAGGTCCCTTTGTTGGATACCAATTTGATGACTGAGTCTGGAACTCAGAGTTGCAGCAGGAGAAAAATGAAATTAAAAATGGCTGTCAGGCCTACGGCATGAGATGACTTGCAGGGGTCATCTGGAAGTGATGTCTGTCTTCTCCAGGAATTGTCAGAGACTCTATGCTTTTACCATAACATTTCAGTGATTACTAGAGAGGACTGACATTTGCCACCCCAATCAGAATAACGAGACAGAGATCAGTTTGGAATCAAACAAGGGCCACTTTAGTAACTATTTAGCAAACCGCGCCAGACCCTCAGCAACCCCCAGACGACAGAACCCCCTGGGAAAGGGTTTTGGGGGGCGGCGAGGTCTGCAGCCATCACGATACGAAGGAAACCGCAGGCGAACGAACAGAAGCCCCTGGGAGACTCACCTCAGTAGATTCGCTTCCTTGGCCGCCGACGGGGAGGGGGTGTGCCCGGTCTCAGGTGCGGGGCGACTGGAAAAGCCAGGTCCTACTCAGGGGAAAGGGTTGGGAGACGCTGCAACAGCCGGCGTCGGGCCCCGTTGTCGCCCCGGAAGTAGCCACTCCCCTACACACCCCAGTTCAGGAATTGAGACACAGGGAAGCACCGGAGGGCGGGTTTAGAGTAGAGACGCACTATAGGGGGTGATTGACAGGTAACAGAAGTGGGGGCGGTGCTGCAAAAGGAAGAGGGAGGTGTCACCAGGGTGAGAACAAGGATAAAAGGAGAGAAGCCAGGAGAGTTGGGGAGGATGCCGGCGGCGACTGGCTGGGCGAGCAAGGAAGATAAAGAATGGCTGTCGACCCCGAGGAAGGAGACGCTGGAAGTGCCAAAACTCCACGCTCCTACAAATCTGAGGCTCTCACTTCTCTCCTGAGTCCTAAGTCACTACGGCAAGTGGTCCTCCAGGCCTGGGGACATCCCCGGGCCCGACACCTGGTCTTGAGCCACCAATCTGGCTTGCGACCAGCAGCCCCACCACTGGTTGACACCCAGGAGCGCCTACCCCCGAAGCTGTACAGCTTGCAGGGAGGAGCCTACCTAAGAGGTGATCATCATTCCCAGCCCTGGTCCGTAAAACCCGAAGGCTGTTCCTGATGACCCCCTTGTTCCCAAACAGGAAATGGCTTAAGGTGCTCACCGGTTCTGCTTTCATGCCTGCACTACCCTGCCACTTGCCAGGTCAAGCCTCTCCTTTGGCCAAATCAGCCAGTAGCAGCCCAAAGCTGCCCTAATCCCTTGCCGCAAGTCCTCTAAAAACAAATCATTACCCTTGTTTGATAAATGAATACCACCATCCCTATACAGGTCTTGCAACACAACCTGTATGCCGGGGTGTGGCAAAAATTGACCCAAACCACCCTCCATAGCTTACCTCATCTGGCGGTTGGCTTTATGTCATGCACGGTCAAGGCACCGAGGGTCCCCAAGGCTATGCCATACCTCTGCTGGAATAAAACTCCCTCTCCTTGCCTGCTCAAATATTGGCATAAAGCCAACACCAGGCACAACTCCACTTTTGAACAAGGTCCCAGCTCAATAACCGAGCCCCTGCCCAGTTGATCAATTTTTGACCACCTAAAGCTGAGCATCACGCTGTCATCCAGAATGATAATATCCTGGTAACAAAGGGCGCAGCTAGACCTATCCTGCCGTGAGGCCGACACAAGCTCACTGATTTGCAGAGCTCCAAAAAAGGCAACCAAAGATGCCACATGGAAAAGGGAAGCCTCGTATTCATCTTTGCAAGGACTAGGACACAGTGCCCTAAGGCCCCTGAGCACAGCTAGCGTCAGAGGCTCCAAGGTGTCCTCATTCCAACCGCCCTCCCATGACCAACCTCCCAGCATTTATTGTATGCGAAAGTCACCTGTCCTATCATCGTATCTGGCAGTCTTACTGGCATAAGCTAGAGGCAACAGCTTGCCTCTAATGGAATGCACTGACATGCCCTTACATTTCAGAAACACACAAAACTGCATCAATTGGGACACTGGGATGGGCCAAACTTGTTGCAGACCAGCTTCCTGCCTAAAGGCAACAAACTGCTGGCCCGCCCTCCTATAGGATCTTCAGGCAGAAGGGGCAAGGGCTAAGCCAATCGCCCTTTCGGCCTCAACCTGCCAATCTGCCAAAAGCCCATTGGCATCCTTACTGGGAACTGGTCAATTTCCGGGGCCAGCTGATGGAACCTCCCTATCTGTTTTCGAGAGAGAGTGCCAGCAATCCTGTTACTAGCCCTAAACAATATATTGTTTTTTAAACAGAGGAGTGTAAACGCTCGAACCAGCACCATGACCCTTGGAGACTTTGATGCTAATGAACTGATGACATGCACTGTGGCCAAATTGTCACACCAGAAGTGGACTGTATGATTGGCAAAACCCACTGTCCAAATTCCC